TTTTGACAAATACACAGGAATCTATTCAAAAGATTTTTCAGCTAAGATGTCCCTGACATTGTGGGTCTCAAAATAGTTTTCAATGACACCCCATCTTACTTTTTTCTGGAAAGTGCCACAGCATATAGCTACAATAATTGTTTCTGCCCCTGGGCAGAACTAATTGCTCACTAACCAGTTTCCTACAGATTGTTTCACCTGGGCCACATCTTAAAAGGGAATATCCACAGACTGAATTTGAAAAGCATATCTCCTGAGCTGATGGTACAGTTATTAGCCATCCTGAAATACGAAGCAAGTTAGTAGTCTACCTACTGTCTTGACTATCCAGGCATTTTTCACATATACCAGAGGTCCAATTTTCAAACCTAAGTTTCCCCATGTTGGATGAGTGCGTGTTGCTTCACTGTCTCCTTTTGGGACCAATCATATGGCTCAGTTTAGGCAGGCCTAACCTTTTAGCATGTATGCTTACATAACTCTCTTTTTTTTAACATTTTATCCTGGCTGGCCTTGTACCAATCTTTTTTTTTTGTGGTCTTTTTTTCACAGTACTAGCAGGAAATCTACAAGTAACCCTGGGGGCACTACCCTCATTTCAATGCCCGGACAACTTTGCTGCACTGCAGCTGAGAAGTGAATTTACCAATGTTGCATAGCTCAGGCCCATTTAAGCCAGGGCAGAAACACCACGATTACTTGTAGAGCTCATATCACACATTAATTTAATGGGAGTTCTTACAGCAGAAGATTAGCTAGAAAGCCTCCTTTTATTGTGGGTTCCAAAACAGAATCTGCTAATGGAGTTATTGAAGGTGGATGACACACTGAAAACAGCCTCTTTTGCAATATAAATGCACACATTTCCCCCTATATTGGAAATGATGTTCAGAAGCATTTGCATCCACATTCATTCTGTGGGCTACAGGGCAGGAGTAAGAGGCGTAGTAACTCTTACTCTGAAGGAATAGGAGTTAAAAGCCTACATTTTGATGCTCTGTGGAGGACATCAGAGTACACCAGAGCATTTGGAATCTGTTCAAGAACATCCTGGGATGGACAGAATCAGCATGAACTGGTATAATAGATTACAAAAGCATGTAGAATGGTACAGCCAAACCTGGTACACTATATAGCAGGGGCAGGCAAAATAAGGCCCGCAGGCCAGATCTGGCCCACCAGGCCATTCTATCCAACCCATAGTGGGTCCAAAACATTTTAGAAAATTATTTTTTACCTGTACGTGATTGCCTAAGCTGACAAGGTGCCAGTGGTGGCAGGACCCAGGAGAAGCCAGCAGTAGGACCCAGGGCAGCAGCAGCAAGGCCTGCCTGGCCCCACCCCAGCCTCAGCCTCAGCCCTTATGGCCTGGTGTCCATGGGGCTGTTCCCCTCCTCCCTTCTCCCAAGAGTGCAAAGTCAGATAAGAACAGGGGGAAGGGGAAGACTGCAGGCAATCTCCCCAGTCCTGGTTAGCTTCCGCTGCGTTCTGCCATCCCAGCCATGCAGCCGGGAACTGAGTGCTGCCAGAACAGCAGGAGGATGGACGGGGGATGGAGAGGGGGGAGAAGCTGTGGCAGCGGAAAGGAAGGTGAGGAAATGGTAGTGGTGGGAGTGCGGGGCCCACACTAGTGCCCTGGGGCCAGGGCCAGTGGGGGCCCAGGGTGGGATGACAGGAATGCAGAGCCTGGGCTGGCAGGGGTTCTATGGACACGGGCCAGCTCCCCCTTCTCCCTGGTAGCAGAGCAGGAGCAGAGTTTGGCTCAACTTCCATGATTCATGGCTGGCTCTGTGCAGTGCTGGCTGGGCTGGGCTGGTTCCACCACCACACACATCTTAGCTGCATGGCCAGGACCGCACATTACAGCAGGAGCCAGCTGGGGGGCTGGGCCAGCTGCTGCTGCATCCTGCGGTTTGGCTATGCAGCCAGAAACTACGTGGTGCTGGAGCAGTGGGTGGGCGGCAGGGGGTAGAAGCAGCAGGCAGGCATGGGGGAAAAGTGGTGGGTGGATGCAGGGGGAAAGTGGTAGCAGGCAGCGGGGTGGGGGA